TGGATTTTTCGTCCACTCCCCGTCAGAGATGGCTGCGGCCTGTGCACAAGATGCTTGATGGAGGACCTTCGAACGGATCTGGGTGAAAACCTTCTTTTGGCTTCAAAGCCGGCGGTGGCGGCGCACGGCGTTCCTTTCTTGAAAGCAACGCCGAGGAGAAGTTAAGGCCGCCATCTGCTACCTCCGAGAGAAACCCTAGATCTCTAGATCAGATGATGGCGGTGCTCTTGTGTCGTTTCCCTCTTGGAGGCGTCATTCTTGGAGGTGTACACGGGTTCGAGGGACCAGTGGACGGATTCTTTGGTGGAGTAGTGCGTCATCTCACTTATTGATGGCCGCGGACCTCGGCGGCGTATGGCGCTGTGGTGACTCGGCATCCGATGCGCAGAGATGGACTCACGCAGGAGGGTGTCGCGGTCTGACGTCGTGGTGGCGTCGATGGCAGCTAGACCGTGCAAGGTAGATGCAGCAGTACAGCTCTGAAGATGGATTGGTGGCAGGTGGCGGCGGCGGGCTCATACCCGGCAGGCGTCCTGGTTGAGGAGTGCGCCGGACCGGTGGGTGCCCCATGCCCGGCAGGCGTCCTGGATGGGACCTTAGGTCTTAGATGTTAGGTTTGGCTGCAAGGTCTGTTTGGTATTAGGCCCAGACTATCAGCATCCCTTCATCAATTGGATAGGAATAGCGATAGATGTTGCCTAGACGGTGGCTTTAGTCTTGCTGTTGTATTACTTTGTAATGTCTTGTGTGAACAATTAATAAAGTGGCCGCATGCATCGTTCAGATGCAGAGGCCGGGGGCTTCCTCCTTCTCGAAAAAAAACAATCATTTTATGCAAAAGAGTTCTTGTTAGTTGTAAAATTCATAATATTCCGGTATATTTCAAATTTTGTTTCATAGAGAAGCTCCATCATTGGAACCAGTATATGTCTGCTGATAAAACCCTTTTGTATGATCATGGTCTTTAGGAATTGATATTCCAATCAATCTACGGATGCGGTATTTGTGGGAGATGAAGAGTAGCGACGGGTTCAATTTAGGGGCCGTCTTTATTGAGCTACATTCATGCTTCACAGCAATTCACCTTCCCACAATTGCTCAGGCTGCACATCTGCTGGCTCATGTGAGTATATCTTGCAGTTCTTTCTAACCGAGTATTACTGCAGATTCCAAAATAGGACTAACTTCTGCTTGTTTTCTAATCTATTCATTGTACCTCAAGGTGAACCAATCTATCCCAGGAGAGCATATTTTTCTTAATTCTACAACAGAGGATGTCATTTTTTGCTTTAATGTGGGCTGGTTAGGAACTATGGTAAATGTTTTTCCTGAAAGCTAATGCTGTTGCACAATGTCTTTTTTACCATTTCATTTTTATTGGGAGAAAAATGGTGCTTTTCAAATTGTGCTAATGTGGACATGTGTTGTGCGTGTTGATCTAAATGTATTGGAAAATGGTCTGGTTGCGGAACATTTGGTCCACAATTTTTTTATTCAAGATGGAACAAGTTTGTTATCGATATTCCTGTAAATGGTTTGTATAGTTTGTTTTGTTATTAAGCAAACATATGGTTGTATGGTTATCGGGATTCAGAGGTCCTGCGACGACATCAAGATAGTCTCTTTTTTTTTATTCCCTGATATATAATTTAACTTTACCAAGCAGAATAAAGATAGCTACGAAGAAGAGCAAGTATAATTGAAATACTTGTGTGATGTCTACACTATTGTCCTCATATATCCACTATTCATCTCAATCCAGTAGACACAGCCACACAGGGTTCAGCTTTCGCTGTCATGTTGTTATTACAGAGTTAGCCCCATCTCTTTAAATCGTCGTATGTACTCCAAAGTCTTATAGATTATGCAACTGGCTAATTGTTGGGACTTTATTACTCAATTTTGAGATTTATTCTCTCCGGTTCATGCAATATGTTTACGTTTGACTTGGAATTGGCTGTACTTTTGTTGTGCTTTTGTTATAAGGTACTCCCTCTGTAAAGAAATATAAGAGCGTTTAGATCACTACTTTAGTAATCTAAATGCTCTTATATTTGTTTATGGATTTGTAGCCAATCTTCACTAGGACTTCTCATCTGGTAGCCAGCCGAATTTTCCTAATCTCTGCTCTTAAGGCTCTCGCTTTAGTGCATTCAATCATAGCATGGAAATCATTTTCCTCTGTACATCCACAAATGCTGAAGATTACATCCTTCTCAAGAGTCGTTTTGAATTTATTTAGCTTTGTGGGTAGAGAACCAGTCGCTACTCTCCAGCCGAGCATTTTAATTCTCTCCGGTATTTTCGCCTTCCAGATCATGTTCCAAATACTCCATATGTTTCAGATTCTTAGAAGGATGTAATACTGGTTAGTAATTGTAACTGCAAACCTCAGTCTCTTAGTTCTGTTTAATACTGGACCATATGTTTCTCTTAATCACTCTCATGATACGTGTTCTCATATCCATGTATTTGAAGCTAACTAAAGAGTTTCCTATTCTGAGAAGGGTTCAAGCGATTTACTAGAAATTGTAGGTAGCATCAACTGGTCACTTGCAAATTATTGTATTTTGCTTAGACAGAATATTTATTCCAGAGTTGACAGGTTGTTGAGAAGTTGCTGGTGACCACATTGGTCTATTTATATGAGGTGTTACTTGAGAGTTGAGATCTTCTATCTCAACCAAGAATTGAAGAAAGCATGAGTCACCACCAAAAATTTATTTTTCACCACACCTTTGCTGTCATTTATTTTGCTCTATTGCCCTGCCGGGCTGCCAGACATCAAGACTACTATTTGTATTTCCTGTAGTTATTTGAAGAGTTTTTGTAGGAGTTTGAATCGAATAGTCTCCCTATTTGTGTGCGTGTGCGCGTGCGCGCGCGCGCGTGTGTGTATTAGTGGCTTTGCATCTTTGCCGTTCCTGCTGCTCTGTTTCACTCTAAACACCATGAAGTTTATTTCAGGCTAGAATATGTGTTGTCATTTTTTTTAAAATGAGTTTCTTGAGTTGATCTAACCTGAACCTTGAGAGTTCTAACTTGACCATGCAGAGTTAGCAAACTGAAAGATTGTGAGATAGCTGTAAGTTGGCATCTTCGAATTGCTTCCAGTGGCTAAATTTCAATGTCAGTTCTAGAGTTTTTCAAGCATGCAAATTTTCTATTTGTTTAGGCTACGGTTCCAACAATTTATAGCAGTGGTTTTCATTTTTGTTGTGTTTTCCAAAGGCTAGAACTTTGATGGATGTTTTTAGTGTGATTCTATGGATACAGAGCCCTTCTCATCGCCTGTTTTGTCGGTATCGATCGTCTATTATCTTAGTATACAACACATTTTTCGTATACAAGATTTGACCGAATGGTTCTGATGCCACAAAGTGACCATGCTTTCTTAGTACATATGTGAATACTTATGCTTTATTCAAGACACATTCAGTTTTTTTTCCTTTGCAAATAGTCTGTAGATGTAGCGTTGGCCTGAGCCCCTAAAGTGTCGTATACTATTTTCTACCTGGATGATGATGTTGAAGGAATTTCTGCTATGAATAATTAAAACATTCAACCACAACCACTATGAACAATTGTCTGAACAAGTTTTCAGCGCTGATGATCCACCAATCACACTGACTAATTTTCATCACTTATAACGCCTTTAAGATGTATCTCTCCCTATCTACCTTCCTTCCTAATAGCATTGCAAATATTCTATCCTAAGCTTCTTAGAACACTAGTATGTACCATAAATAATCCATGTGGAACACTATGTATCATAAATAATCCATGTGTTCCAATCTGCCCCTAAATATATTTATGTTTACTCTTTCAATACTTGCCTTACTCTCGCCCCTTGCGCCATCAGTGCAACGGGTCATCTAGTGGATAAAGATGTCCAATTATAAAAAGTAGCTTAAGGCATCTATATTATATTTTTCCTCTCCAATGCAAGCTATTACTAGTGGACCTCAACAAAGAATAGAAAATAGACTCGCCCTACACATGCATTCCCACTCTCCACTTCAACTTTCCCAACTTTATGGACCGATCACATTTTTTCTCCTCAGGCACCTGTCTCTTCCTGAGAATCCCGCTATACTTTTCCTCTGC